ATAGAGATTAGGAATAGTGAGTGTATCTGATAGGGTGCATCATTGAAGATTAAGGTGTAAATTATGTTAGTGGGCAATGCCATTGTTACTTACGGGACATTTTGATTTTTGTAATGTCACATTTTATTATTTATTTTAACAGATTATATGTTTATATATGAATCATCCCAAAATCATTTATTCGTTTTCCTGTATTTTGAAGTTTCGTCCAATTATTATAACCATAGGAATTATAGTTGATTATATGCTGTGTTACTTACGGAACGCAAAAAATCATTGCATTAAACCTGTTGTTTTCAGTTGAAAACTTTAAGCCAAATATTTAACCTACATAAACTGGCTACTTAAATTAAATGAAGTAGTTATTATTCTGCGTAAAACTATTTAAAAGATTGTTTTAGCTTAATGTGGACTCGAAGGATAAATGACAACAACTAAATTTCTTTTTAACTTTTTATTACCTAAAACAATAAGAAATATTATAAAACAATAATAATATTGATCAATTTCATCACATTCTCCCCAACATTTTTAAGTTTTAAGTAGTCTATTGTTCAAAGATCGAACCAATTTGGAGTCGTGCACATTCGAGTTGATCGTCTTGGTAAATATCATATTCAACCTTATTGAACATGGCAGGGCAAGACTCACTGGATGTGTAGGAAGATCCAATGAAACAGTCTCATCTGGTTTTTGTAATTAGTGTGCAGTCTTATCTGGTTCTTGTAACAGGTGTGCAGTAGATTGTTCCGATAAGCTTAGATACTGTTTTTAACTGTAACTTAACTGTATGTGAGTCTTAAGTTAGTGGTGCAAGGTGACGAATAGAAACCGTAGATTCACGACTGTAAGCATGCTAAATAAGCGCATATTGTAGGTTTGCTTCCATTAGGAATACCTCATCTACATCAAATTTATAATTAGAATTTTTAAGATGTCTCTTTAATAACACCTTGCCAGGTTGTGCAAGCAATAATTGGATTGAATGTCCATCAGCAGAACATCTTTGATACGTAAAGAGTCCTTCATGAGGAGTTTTATTAGTAGTGGTCTTGATTTTTTCACATTTTTTGTTGTTATAGGTTAAATTCTTTGCTTTACCAGCTAAAAGGAAGCATTTTAAGGTTGTAGTCATGATTCTTTTGCATCTTTCCACAGATTGTCAAATTATCAATATAAGCAAAAGTCTTTCAATATCTCATCAGCAATAAAATTGTCCACTGTTTTTTGAAATTACTCCTTACTTTTGAGTTACTCCGTTTGTCATACTAAAAGGCATACACATAAACTGATGTAAACCTCTGTCAGCTTCTAATGCAGTAAACAGACGGTATTCTTGTTTAACTGGGATTTTGCTTAAAAGTTTATATAAAATAAAAGTAAATGTAAATTTTGCTTAAAAGTTTAACTACTTGTGGTAGAGGGTAGACATCAAGACATAAAACAATTGATAGTTTGACTATAGTTTATGACTAGGCACTTTTTTGATCTCTTGTTTGTTACAATGACTTGTGATCTCCATGGTGATGTTAAAGGTTCGATAATTCCTTTTTTGTAAAGGCGTTGTACTTCAGAGCTAAAAAAATTTCTGTCTTCAGCACTGTAGAGGCGAGATTTTGAGGCTATTAGTTTACAGTCAGACTTTTTTGTTTTGATTTATATTGGATTTATACAACTAGTAGTAGTTGCTAATATTAGTTTTAAGATGGATGCAGCTGTTGAGTTAGTGTTATATTGCTTTGAAAGATATTACAATAGTTTTGTCAAAGATAACCTCTAATTTTATGGATCTATTTTTGAAAAGTTGTTATTGGATTTCATTATAAGTTATACCACTGATAAAGGAGTATGTAAATGTTTTCTTGAGGTAACACATCTAAAAAATATTCAAAAGTTTTAAACCAATGATTAAATTCTTGGTTACTTGATGGTGTGTTTGGAGGTGATTCAAATCGTGCTGGTCGTAGAGCTTTGTCCTTTTGTTCTTTGTAACACAATGAATTACAAGTTAATAAAATTGTTGTGGACTTGAAGGATAAATGACAACAATTGAATTATTACTTTTTAACTTTTTATTAACTAAAACAAAAGAAGAAATATTAATATAACAACAATATTATTGATGCTAAATATAATCACATAACTACTTATTTATGTATGTAAAATCGTGCTGGTCGTAGAGCTTTGTCCTTTTGTTCTATTGTTACTTACAGAGACAATTCTGCACTTTTATCAAAATGTAGATTAGCTACCATTTATATAGAAAGTATGAGGCATGACTTTAATTTTAAATTTAAAACAAAAACACAACACACAAGTAACATTATTAATCAAAATTAAAAATTTTTAAACATAAGGTAACCCAGTGATTACTTTGCTAAAACAATCAAATTTATTTAATTAAAATAATTAAATTTAAAAATAATTTAAAATAATTATATTTAAAATAATTAAATTTATTTAATTATTTTATTGAAATAATTCATTTAAGCGTGGAATTGACCTAGTGTATTGTACAAATAGAGTGCTTAATGTTCTTAAAGAACAGAGCAGTAGTAAATTAGTATAAACACTTATCTAATTTTGACAGTCGAGGAAAATTAGTCTAATTTTCCTCGACTGTCTAATTATTAGATAAGTGTTTTTACTAATTTATATATATACATATATATATATATATATATATATATATATATATATATATATATATATATATATATATATATATATATATATATACATATATATAAATATATAAATATATATATATATATATATATATATATATATATATATATATATATATATATATATATATATATATACATATATATATAAATATATATACTATTTTAAAAATGTATTCTACAAAATAGAGTGCTCAATGTTCTTAAAAGAACAGAGCAATTATAAACTAGTAGAAAATCACTTGACAAAATTTTTTTTTCTTTTTACACTGTGTTTCATCAATAAAGACTCATCAGAAATGTCTGATGAGTCTATATTGATGAAACACATTGTAAAATAAAAAAAAAAATAAAAATTTTTGCTAATTGATTTTCTACTAATTTATATATATATATATATATATATATATATATATATATATATATATATATATATATATATATATATATATATATATATATATATATATATATATATATATATACTATGATAGCAAACTAGTTCGCTATATAAACTCTATAATAATATTATAGAGTTTATACAGCGAACCTTTCTCTTGCAATAATGTTTGAGATTATAGACTATAATCTCAAACATTATTGCAAGAGAAAGGTTCGCTGAAGTTGCTGCAATATTATTATTATTATTTTGATCTCCTTTTTATTTTCACAACAATATACAAACTAAGCAAAACGAAAACAGTTACAAAATAATTTTATTCAACGCTAACTGAAGATATATATTAAAAAAATATATTAGAAAAAACTACCTACGCAATTTTGTAGAACTTATTATAAGCTAAATAATTTAAAACGCGAATTAATAGGGGTTAATTTATTACGATGGGGGATAGAAATATTTAAGCCCCCAGTTTATTTATTTCGCCATGTTTTAAAATAGTTTAACTCCCGGGGTTAATTTATTTCGAAATAGATTAACCGGGGAGTTAAAATGTTTTAACCGGGAGTTAACTTTTCGGGGAGTTATTTTATTTCGCGTCACCGGCGCGAGTATGTGTCACGTGGGGGTGCCATTACAACTTTTGTCGACTAAAAAAAAAAATTTCTTGACTGCCATAACGACAATTGCCAACTGACTGTCTAAGTTTACCGAATAACTTGTCGAAAGGGTCTACATTTGCCGACTAAATGAACGAAAAAATAATTGATGAGGGTGGTGGTGGTGGGGTGTCACACCTCCATCGCGCCGGCCTTGAGCCTAATACGGCGTGTTCAGTGCAAATTTTATTATATATCTTCTTGTTTTTAGCTGAAGTGTTTTGACAAATTACGCTAATTAAGCATCAAAATATGCAATTTTCCTAAACAAATTTAATAACAAAATTTTTTTTAATTTTCTTGAACAAACTTAATAACAAATTTTAAAACAATTAAAAAAAGATAAAAATTTAAATTAAATGGAGATGTACCACTTATTACGCCTGAGAATTTTGAATATTTAAAATAATCAAAAGAAAAAAATAAGACTTCAAAGCATTAAAAAAGAAATATTACAAATAACCAAAAGATTTAAAGAGAACAATATTTTATACGACAATATTAGTTTTTCTGACTAAAATATTTTTAAATAATAATATAAAATACATAAAACGTAATGTAAAAAAATAAAATCGCACATAATAATTTCAAAAACCATCAGAAAGCTTGAAAAAACACAACTTTAAATCCGTGGTAAAAACACAAAATAACTTTCCTTATCACTTAATATAGATCACTGGATTAATTTCATAAAAAATCAACGAAAACTTCGTGTACGTGTAACATTTTTTCTTGTACCACGTCAATTTTTAAAGATATTTGGGTTTGAATTCTAAACATTTGGGGTAAAATGTCTATATTGTCAACAAATTGTTCAAAAGTATGTCAAACTGGTCTCAAAATAAGCGTATTTTCATAAAGATTTTAAAAAGAATATTCCTTTAAAATAAAAATCAATATTTTCATATTATAGCTAAGGCCTGGGTTAACATAATATTAAATATTTTTTCCTGACAATATTAGGGACTTTACCCCAAATGCTAAGGATGTGAACCTAAATATCTTCAAAATCTGACGTAATAAAAGTAAAAGGGTTGTACATTTGAAATCAGAATAAGAAATTCTATAACTAAAACGTATACTTTGTTCGACAACAGACAAACTTTTTTTTGTTAAACTGTGTAATTATTAGATATAAAGTAATTATAGAAAATAAATGTAAAAAAAAAATAATAATAAAATAAAAAATAAAGAAAAAAACCACAACATATAAAATATAATATTCACATATTTACAAAATTTTAAAAGTGTAAATTTTCTTCTTTTAAAAGATTAGACTCATTTATTTTACTCGATAATATAAATACAATTGCAATAAAATACAAGAATTTCAAGTGCTTAAAATGAAACGTATGGTATTATAAAGTATACAATTTTTTTAATGAGGTTCAAGAAAGTTAAGGGGAAATTGCAGATGATCAGTTCTATAGTTTCCAAACGCTGCTTGCGATCTTAAAATAGTAGAAAGATCGTACTGGGGCATTGTTAAAGAAACATTGGGAGGTAACTCCTCAAACCCTGGTGGCATAAAGTTACTCGATTGGCATTGCGAATAATCATAGTGTTCTAAGTTCTGAGGTAAATGTTCAACATATATTTCTCGTGCATATGGATAATGCCTGAGGTTGGAATAATTATCAAGTAACTTAATAGGTGGAGTACAAATCCCAGATTCTTGTTGTGCATACTGATCGTGATAAATCACTTCACCTGATTTGGTATCACAATTTGATATACTTTCATATTGACAAGAGGAAAAATCTAAAACCAAAACAAAAAATTAAAAACAAATGTATTAAAAAACAACACTATGTTAATGTATTAAACGAACTACTATTGCTTAGGATATAAACATTTGACATATGTAAGTTACAGCAGAAACTCGAGACTCGAATAAATAATTGTTCTAAAAAATTAAAAAAATCTTCGGCGCAACTATTGATTTTCAAATAAACGCATGAAAATGACAATCGAGAATAAAATCTAAAAATCATCTTTATGAAGATAGTTATAACATCAAAACCATTACATTGAAGAATTCTGGAATCATTGTTTAAATGTTTTCAAAACTCACAAGTATATCTGTTTTTTCTGCAACTTTAACGTTTATTTACATTCTACAGCCTACAATAATTTTGAAGATATTCCTACAAGCGCATACCCTCTATATTGTTGAGAATCATTTTATAAGCCATTGATCTCCAATATATCGTGCCAAAATATTACTTGCATTTTAAAATTGCTTAAATTTTTGATGGAATAATTAACACACACATATATACATATATCTATATCTATATGTAGGGTTGGGAATACCGGGATCCTAATATTTGGAACAATTTATAGTTGCCGAAATACCAGTATTAAAAAGTCGAATACCGTTATTTCGGTATTCGAAATAACGGTATTCGACTGGCGAAATAATTTCACAATTCGAAAGCTTAAAAAGTTTAAAATTTTAATTGATCTTATAAATGGAAACAAAATTCATCGTACAAAATTAAATGTGGGTATGATATTGGTTATTTTTAGCTAAATTAAAATATTATATAAAATTCCAAACAGTAAGTTAAATTATAAATTACATATTTTATTATCGCGTTTCGAACTTTTAGAAAATTTGTATTTTCACACTGATATGAATATTCAAGATTTTGAGGAGCATTCCAAAGCAAATGATAAAAACTCACCATGGTTTCATTTTGTAAGAGAAAAAGCAGGACAGTGTGCTAAATGCAAATCGAGTAAGTGAATAATAAAAACACATGGAGGTTCTACATGCGGTCTTTATATCCATTCAAAAACAATTCATAAAATCAATTTATTAAAAATGATGTAAGTACGCCCACTGTTTTAGATTCTTTAGAACTTGTACAGACATCTAAACCTTCTGTAACTAAAAACAACTTTTTTAAAAGTGATAAAATGGATGATTCATTGCCAGCTATTTTAGCTAGGATGACTGCGTGTGATGGTTTATCATTTAACATTATCTGCACATCATATGATATCAGAAAAGGCTTAACAGCCAGAGGGTTTTCTAACATACCAAAAGATCACAAAGCAATTCACAAAATGGTCTTGAACTACAGTAAAAGTATACGAGACAAAGTAATTAAAGAATTATCGAGCAGAATTTCTAATGGAAACAGATTTTCTCTAACTTTCGATGAATGGACATCGATAAGAAATAGACGTTACATAAATATTAATGTCAACTGTGACAAAGAATTTTGAAATCTAGGATTAATTCGTGCTTTTGGAACAATTCCCGCAGAAAAATGTGTTGAGCTTGTCAATGATAGGTTAGGTGATTTTGAGCTTTTGATCAAGAATATTATAGGTATTACCACTGATGGCGCTGCAGTTATGACAAAGGTAGGCAGGTTAATTGAAGCACATCAGCAGCTATGTTAAGCACATGGAATTCAGTTGGGTGTTATTCAATTTATGATGAAATCAATAACTGGCCATCCATGTTCATTAAGTTATAAATTGAAAGCAGCTTTAAAAGTACGTATTCTTGAAAGATGAACAGAAATTTAAAGTGTTTTGCAATACTTACACGATGCTGACTTCGATGAAAATCCAAGTGATGATGAAACCGATAGATTATGAATTATTACCGATCATTACGCAAAAGTTATCGTTTTACAGATACAACATCTGGGTGTGGCCAACTTATGAAGCTGCACCATTAAAGCTGGCCACACCCAGCCAACAAGCTGCACCTGTAGCAACAACATCTACCTCAGCCAACATTTCAAATTCAGACACAAATATAATATTCAATGTCGATGATGATGAAGTTGATCAAAGAATTGAAATTTCTCTGACTTAAAAAGAAAAGTTGGAGACAGCAATATCAAAAAAAATTTGCACCAGATTACCTGAAAGTGGAATCAACCGAAATAAAAAAGTTTTCAAATGCTCAATAAACAAGAAATGTCATTTTTTGAAACAAACGGCGTAAGGGGCAAATACTTAACTTATATATATCTATTAATATATAATTATTTGCTAAGTATTTAACCAACCAGCGTAGAATCAGAGAGAGCTTTTTCGATAGCTGGCTTAATCTGCACCAGAGTTCAGTCAAGGATGGGAGATAATTCGCTTAACAATCTATGTTTTCTGAGGTCTTATATCAACAACCAACTGCAGAAAAAGTAAAACCTTAAAAGTTTATGTTTTCTTCCTTTTCTTATGATTAATATATAACTAACATTTTACTGAATTTTTTTTTTTTTTTTTTTATTCTTTAAATAAGTTAATATAGTTTTTTTTAATTGCCAAACCAATTTTAATTATATTATTTATTCATTCGTATTATTATAGGAAAAAATAGGGATTTTCTAGGGATTAGAAATTTTCAATACCGAAATACCGGTATTTGATTTTTAGTCCGGTTTTCCCAACCCTATCTATATATATCTATATATCTATCTATCAATCTATCTATTTATTTATCTATATATACATACACACACGTATTTCATAGTTGACATAGGTATATTTTATAGTAGTATTAGCCAAATTAGTTTCTCTGACATTTGAAATTAATTTTCAGAATTAACATTTCCATGTAAAAAAATCTTAGTAATGAGTTGCATTAAGAGTTGATTTTCTTTAAGACATAATACATGACCCAAACCAGTGATGTATAATACCATGTAATTAAAGTTCATATTTTTTCTAAAACAGTAATTAAAGAACAGAATTTTTCAGATTTATAAACTAAAAAAGTTTAAATAGCTATTGCTACTTTTATTATTTATGAAAATGAAAGCAATACAACAAAAAGCATTTTTTAAACATAATCCTAAATCGTCTTCTAAATTACTGAGGACCTTTTGTAAACCCTGATAGTATTTTACAACCAATGTTTATAACATGGATAAAACAACTGGCAGAGTATAATTTGCTTAAAAACGATACAAAACTAGGTTTTAGCATTATTTTCACAGACCTTTTGATTGATGGCTAAATGTGTTGGTGCAAAAAATAGGTTATTTAGTTATTACAAGATAGTTCATACCAGCAACTTAAATTTTCTATAAAATAAAATTTATTTCCAGACTTATCATTAACCAGGCTAAATGAAATAATATAGAACCTATCTTATATTTCAGTATAATCTACTTCAGGATCCACTTATTTAAACAAAGGCTAGGGTTGTTACTCTGACTACACCATGCTTCAGGGCCTTTGGCTGAGTGAAGGCTAGAGAGTCTCAATATATAAACTCACATTGGGCAACTGTATCTGACTACTTGTAGAAGGCCTCCTAGGCAAAGAAACCATCATTACCACCAAATTGTTTCACTTTATCCTTTTCATCACATGATTACCCTTTACAAAAATCACCAGACTTGCTTGTTTTTTATGAGACTAATGAGACTTTAAGAGACTTAATTAGGTTAATTTAAACTGTTTTATATTCCGATAAATAGAGGATTCAAACCTAATTCATAAAATTAAAAAAAAAAGTCATAAAATTAGGTTTGAATCCTCTGGTATTATCTTCACTCATCTTTCCTTTTGTTTTTTATCATACTTCTCCTTTCTAAAAACTGCATTTTTTTCAATCCTGTTTCTGACATAATTGACCTTTCTCTTTATCCCTCAAATATTGTTGATATTTGGGGACTTTAATGCTCAACACCTAAAACTTCATTCACAACGTACTTCTTTTATTATAGACCCTATTATTGCCATTATTACTACTATTTTGACTGGTACTTTTTTTGCGATTTTTTTCTTGATGGTCATTAAGATGTCTTTTGTTTCTCTTCTAAAAATTAAGCCTCCTTCATAATTTGATAAGGCAGAAATATTTGTAAAGAACTTTTTTCTAATTTATCTTATAAATCTTATGAATCAATAACCACATCCTGACATGCCGGTCTTCTAAGTAAGTTTGCATCATATGGTATATCTGGAAAAGTTTTGAAAACTATTGAATCATTCCTTTTTAACCGCAATATTATCCTAAATGGATAGCACTCTCATTCATTTCTATTAACTTCTAAGAAATAACAAGTTTCCATTCTGGTCTTGTGTTTCTCATCTATATTAATTATACTAATACCATTACTCTAAGGTGTTTACTGATGATGCAACAACATAGGCAGCCAATTTTGTATCAGATTCTATTTTCTTGGACAGCTTGGAGCTTGCAGAGGCTTGTGAATTTCATTTGTTTACTGCTAATAAAATGTTTTGTTGATATGATGAAAAGGATACAATCGAGTCCTCTATTTTTACTACTTTACTACTTTACTACTTTACTTTACTATATTTACTTATTTCTCATGAAAACTATATTTATAACCTTATTCTGCTCAACATTTCCATACTCCTAATTTCATTCTGCCTCTATAAATCTCTTACTTAACTTTGTATGGAGTACAGCTGTCATAATCAGATTGGTTATTTTATTAATTTTTTATTAATTTTTTGCTTTAAAAAAATTTTTATTTTGGTTATATACTAATATAACCAAATATATACCTTATACTCTATAAATCTCTTACTTAACTTTGTATGGAGTACAGCTGTCATAATCAGATTGGTTCTTATAAGAGGCCCTTCTTTTATAGAAAAATAACACACATTGTAAATGCTGTAAGACCTCAAGCTTTCATCGCTTGTTCCATCAACAAAAACTCTTGAATGACTTGTCATTCACTAAAGTTGCATTTTTTTACTGTAACTGTTCTCTCAGGCATAAGGTCGAACTTTTGAGATCATGAATCAATTTAAAGCAAAATTGGATAGTTGTTTTGCTTAATCTCTTATTCTCTCAAACAATGTTTTTCCAACCTATCAAAAGCAAGTGTTATTTATTATTAGGAATTTAAAAAAAAAAGCAACATTTCTAGTTATTTTTCAAATTCATTTTATTCAAAAAATTCAATTCATTCATAAAAAATCATTAACATTGAATTAAGATTCAAACTAAAATTAGAAAAAAAAACTTATATGGTCTCAAACTGTGTTTATTCCACCAATCAAATTGATTCAGTATTTCTTATCATTCATATAATTTTTATTTATTCAATAAAAGTTTCACGAATTTTTAATACTGTAAACTAAAGATTTTTTCTCAGAACTTCTTTTTTTCTAAAAAAAATGAGTTGCTAACTAAATAATTTAAACTTTCAGTGTTTAGAGGTATTTAAATTTTTTATAATGAAGTTTGCCTTGCAATTCTTGCCAATCAAATGTGATAGGCCAGAATTGATATTGGGAGATCAAAATATCATTTTTTTCAAAAAAAGACAACAATGGATTGTTGATCAGCTGTTATTTTCAGCGCTGGTTTGTATTTAAAAAAGTAAATTTTTATCTTAACTATTTTATTAAATTATTGAATAAGACGGTTTTACCGCTGTTGTTTTTTTTTTGTATTACTTTTTGTATTTTTTTTGTATTACTAATTTAGAAATAAATTGAATAGTTAATTTTTTTTGTTTTTAATTTAATTATTGCATTTAGAATTTTATTAAAATATTTGTTTTTCTCTTTTTTCTTTTTTTAGTTATTGCAGTTAGAATTTAATTAAAACATTCGCTCCTTTGTTTTTACTTTAACTAATGTATTTAGAATTTAAATTAAACATTTGTTTTGCCGCATAAATTTTAGTAATTTTATTCAGAATTTAAAGAAAAAGTTTCTTTTGCCATTATAACTATTCAAAATTTAAATTTTATATATATATATATATATATATATATATATATATATATATATATATATATATATATATATATATATATATATATATATATATATATATATGCTAACCTCTAACAGTTTAAGGTAGGCAATAAATTGCCGACCTCAATTTTTCCTAATTCTAAGGGCTGTATACATATACACTATGTATATATTTCACTTGACAGCTTGTAGTGTGCTTTTAGTCAAATATTTGCAGTTTTTAATAACATAAACAAAAATGATCTCAAAAAATAAATTAAAAAATATAAAACCTTTATTTTTTTTTTCTTTAAATAGAGATATTTGCAATGGTACCAAATCACTTTGTGAGCATGAACTAGAGTTACCTAACTTTGCAATATATGTAATTATATATAAATAATATATATATATATATATATATATATATATATATATATATATATATATATATATATATATATATATATATATATATATATATGTATGTATATACATAAGTATGTATGTATATACATAAGTATGTATGTATATACATAAGTATGTATGTATATATATATAAATATATATATATATATATATATATATATATATATATATATATATATATATATATACTTAAATAGCTTAACTTGGTAATTTATTCAAGCGCGTTTTATTTTTAAGAGTTTCAGTACATGACGTCATTGATTTTTTTGTTTGTATTAAAGATTGATCATGTAAACAAACAAAAAAGTCAAAGGAATAAAACGCTTGAATAAATGATCAAGTCTGTAGATTGTGGCGTATAATATGTTCACTATTTGACCTAAAACAAAATGGAGAAAGCGAGCTTGGACCAAAATAAAAAAGTTAGTTTTTCTTGTTATGCATTTATTCTTTTATTTTAATTAAAAAAAACAGCCTAAACATTTTTTTTATCATTCTTTTTAATACGAACACATGTGTCGGAGGTTTAAGACCCTATTAACAACTTCAAACTTTCATCTTTTCAACTTGGCAAATTTTCTTTTTTTATTTTTCTCATTAGTTTTACTATGACTTCTAACTTTCAGGGAGTATGCACTGCATATAAAAAAAAGTTAGTATAAGTTGCATTGCAACTCAATGTGATGTATGTTTGTTCTGGACTAATTCAAAATGTAGCAGCGTTAATGATCATGGGTACAATTTAACACAATCAAAACGCTCAACATGGCTGTGTGTAAATTGTACTAAAGGCGTCTTTCTATTGACTGATATATCTGATAATGAATTTAAACTACTCTTCTCTTCAAATAAAACTATTATAACTGATGACTTGCCTTTATCAACTAAACTCTTTCTAGAATCGGGATTGAATAAAATCTATACATAATTTAATAAATTTATTACATCACATGCTTCAGTTTTTGATGATGAAAACTGTTAATCTTTTGATGTAAATTGTCAATATTATGACAATAAGTTTTTTTCTCATAACTTTGACATCATAAACTCTTTGTCCTTTTTAACATTTAAATAATTTAAACATATCCTCTTTAGAAAAGCACTTTAAAGATCTGAACATATTATTATCATTAATTAGTTTTAAAATTAGCATTATTGGAATTACAGAAACGAGGTTTATAAAAGAATCTCCTTCCACACATCCAATTATTATTCAAAACTAAAATTTTGAGCACACACCAACCTAATCTTCTTGTGGTTGAACCTTGTTATATTTATCGAAAAAACTGATTTATAAAAGCAGAGACGATTTGATCATTTACACACCAAACTATTTAGAATCTACTCTTGTTGAAAACATTTTCCCCAAAAAATCAAATGTTGTTGTTGGTTGCATATAAACCCTTGCTTTTGATACCATTAATAATACCATTTTAATTTCTAAACTTGAATATTACAGAAACTGAGGAGTTGCTTGTAATCGGTTTCAACCTTATCTCTCAGATTGGAAGCAGTTTGTTAGCATTAATGGTTACAAATCGAATAACAAACACATAGTTTGTGGTGTTTCCTAGGGTTCTGTTCTTCGCCCTTTATCGTTTTTGATTTATATTAATGATCTAAATAACTCTGTCCACTTCTCATCAGACTATTTGTTTGCTGATGATACTAACATCTTGCATATTAGTAAGTTTCATCATTTCTAGTGTAAGAATGTAAACTTAGATCTAAAAGATTTAGTTCATTGACTAAATGGAAACTTAATTTCTCTGAACTTGGAAAAAACTGAACTAATTTTTTTTTACCTCAGAAACAAAAACTTTGATACAACAATCATATAACTAAAAATTAAAATTTATAATAGAAGTTTATATCCAACACACATTGTTAAATAACTTGGTATTTTTATAGATTCGAACCTCTCATGGTTTTCTCAATTTTCATATAGATGCACTATGTAAAAAATTTAATCAAGCTAATGGCATGCCTTCAATAATTCGCCATTATGTCGATAAAACTACCCTTAAGAATCTGTATTTTGCAATTTTTCCATCTTATCTCAACTCCTGTTGTCAGGTTTGGGGACAAATTGGCAATTGCAATGTTAATAAATTGTTATCAGCTCAGCGCCAATCAATCTGAATAATAAATTTTTAACTCCATTATACAGAAACTTCTTCAAAAAACTTAGAATTCCTACCTTGTCAGCACTAGTTAGATTTGCTAATATTTTTTTTGTTTTTGACTCTTTTAATAAAAATTCACTTTCCTCTATTACAACCTTCTCTTAATGCATTCTGAAACATCAATAATGGAAAACTAAATGTACCTCCCTATAAAACTGAGGAATAACAAGCACTATAAAATTGAGGAATAACAAGCACATCAGTGCATCAGTGAATTGAATTGAAGTCTTGTGTGCATTGTGAATAAGTTTGAAAAAATTCAAACTTTAAAATAATTTATCTTTATTTCTTTATTTAAAACAAAATAAATTTAAACAAATTCTAAAAAATATTTTAATTTTTTATCATTATTAACTTCTTATAGTTTTCTTTCTTTTCTTTTACTTTATACCATTTTTATATAAACTTTATTGTTATTGTCGGTAGTATTTATTTTTTTCCATTACTGCTATTTTTATTATTACTATTATTATTATAATTGTAATAAATTTTTGCTGTTACTTTTGCTCTTTTAATGAATTGTTATTATCTTTTAAATTAATATTATTAATATAATTATCTGATGTCATTCCTTTGATCGGGTTTCTGCATGAGTGACTCCTTCCTTGTCAATCAAGTATTTATATTTATTCTTAATAATGATATTTTAATTTTATTATTTATAATATTATAGATATTCTTATTGTTATTATTATAATTATTATTATTATTAATATTATATTACAGTAATTATATTATTGCAAACGTTGAGGAAAATAAATATCTTGTTGTTGTTGCTGCTAAAACAATGCATTAAACCTGTTGCTTTCAGTTGAATATTTCAAGCCAAATATTTAACCTATATAAACTGGCTTCTTAAATTAAATTAAATATTTATCATTCTGCGTAAAATTATTCAAAAGATTGTTTTAGCTATTTATTTATATATCTTAAATCAAATTAGTTATCGTTACTTACAGGGACAATTCTACACTTTTATCAAAATGTAGTTTAGCTACTATTTATACAAAAAGTATAATGCAAGACTTTAATTTGAAATTAAAAACAAAAAACACAAATAACATAATTAATCAAATTAATTTTTAAATATATGGCAAGCCAATAATAACTTGGTTTTTGCTTGAATTTATTGACTTTTCTCATTGAAATTCACTTTGAAATTCACTTGAGCATAGAATTGCCAATTTACATATGTGTGTGTATATATATATATATATATATATATATATATATATATATATATATATATATATATATATATATATATATATATACACACATATGTAAATTGTGTATAAATATGTGTATATATATATATATATAAATATATATATATACACACATATATATACATATATATATATATATATATATATATATATATATATATATATATATATATATATATATATATATATATATATATATATATATATATATGTATATGTATATATATATATATATATATATATATATATATATATATATATATATATATATATATATATATATATATATATATATATATATATATATATATATATATATATATATATTGGGGGTATATCTTAATTTGTGCGGTTTTCTAAGAGATGACGTTACTAGTTTTATTTCGCATTGTAATCATATGTGATTATATTCATTTGGAAACTACTGTCATTGCTCATCTTTTTCAGTATATGTCATGTGGTTAAAGCATAAACAATAGTTTTTTTTATATTATTTGAAAATGTTGAACTTTGTGCCAGATAAAGTGTTTTTGCGGGGCGTTCTTCATTCAATATGAAGAAAAGTGATGCCAAAATTCATTGTATTTATGTAGAAGTTTATGTTGATAATGCTCTGACGATAATGCAAGTAATGCTCTGTATTTTTTGGGATCAGAAGGGAGTGCTCTATTATAAGCTATTGAAATCGAGCCAGACAATCACAGGGGATTTCTACCGAACACTATTAATCCATTTGATAAGAGAAATCATGGAAAAAGGTCCAGAATATGTGACCAGACATGAGGCCATAATTTTCCACCTTAGCAATGAACGGCCTCATCAACACTGGCTGGGAAGTGTTGATGAGGCCTACCTCACCCACCTTATAGCACAGACCCTTTTTGACTACCACTTATTTTGATCGATGCAGAATGCCCTCACTGGAATACGCTTCACTTCATTTAATGGTATCAAAAATTGGCTTGATTCGTTCTTGGCCTCCAAGCCGTAGAAGTTCTTTTGGGATGGAATTCACAACCTGCCAGAACAATGGGCAAATGTCGTAGCTTCCGATGGACACTACTTTGAACATTGAATGTATAACTATTTTTTCACAACAAAACTTCAATTTTCGAAAAAAAACCACACAAATTAAGTTACACTCCTAATATATATATATATATATATATATATATATATATATATATATATATATATATATATATATATATATATATATATATATATATATATATATATATATATATATATATACATATTGCTTGAAATAAGCGCCGGACATTTGACATTGTCCGGCACTTGTCCGGTCATTTTGTTCAACATATTTTATGTGCATTTATTTTTTATCATTTTAGATGTTCCAAAATTATTAATAAATTCAGAATTGTATATAAACTTTATTTTTTGAACTTTTTTTTTATTACAAAACAAAATATAAGTTGAACACAGGGCTACAATAAAAAAATACGTCATTTTTTTGAATTCATTTTTAAAAGCCGCCAAAGCATTATATTTTTTTGAATTAAGCCCAGTTTTTATCATTTATATTAATATGTTGCAATTAATTATTAATTTAAACTTATAGTTTAGTAATTATTTATTTTTTGTTTGATGGTTTTTATAAATTTCAAACAAATATTTTAGTTTTTAAAACCCCTTTTAAATTTATTTCATAAAATTTTTAGCGTAATTGTTATTTTAATGCTTAAAGAAACCAGTACTTTTTATTACACTACTAAATTGAGTTATTACGTAACATTTGTTATTTGGGTTGAAAATTTTCGCTATTAAAAATGTTTATAAATTTAATCCTAGAAAAAGTTTGAAAAGATTTATAAAAAAAATACATATTTATATAAATTTAAATACCTGTAATTTAACTTGATAATTCAAATAGAATGTGTTTATTGTAAACATTATAATTAATTTGTAGCTTTATTTAATAAAGTAATAAGTAAACTTAATAATTTATGTAATTAATATATTTAAATAATTTATGTATTTAATAATTTTGTACTTTTATTATACCTAATATTTAGCATATATTTAATTATGTATTTAATAAATTAATAATTTATGTATTTAATATATCTACATTTAAAAGCATTTTGCATAATATAGTAATTTAAAAAAAATGTAATATAAATATATTTTCCTTTTCAAATTTTAGTTTTTAGAGCTCAGACTTTTTCTTTTTCTTTAAGATTTTCTTTTTAATTTATCTTACAAATTCTTTTTATTTTCAGCGCATTTTAAAACGCTTAGAGTTATCAAAACAAATTGCATGGTCAAACTGTAAAAATAAAATAATTTAAGCATGTCAGGAATGGTATTTGTTCGCACTTCTTTAATTTTTATCGGATATGTTTGCAAACTTGAGTCTTTACCGGACAAATTTTCTGGTAGAAAAAAGTTCTTTATTTCAAGCCCTATATATATGTATATATGTATATATATATATATATATATATATATATATATATATATATATATATATATATATATATATATATATATATATATATATATATATGTATATATACACACTTACTAAAGCGTGTTTTGATAAGCATTTGCTCACTTTTTTCTGCTTACTTTAAGCTATACCATTTTTTTCGAAAAAGAAGAAGAAAAAACGAAGAATGATGAACAAAACGATTGCTTCCCCATCCCAAACCCTCAGTCGATGTAGCAGCACTCCACTGCGAGTCAGGCTATTTGTCAGTCGATGTATGCACTGAAGCCCCCAGCAGCAGGCTATTTCAGTATGATGTCAGATTGCTTACCATAGTACGCAATACTATATGTATATATATATATATATATATATATATATATATATATATATATATATATATATATATATATATATATATATATATATATATATATGTATATATATATATATATATATATATATATATATATATATATATATATATATATATATATATATACAGTGAATCAAAAAATTATTGGCCCACCCTTGTATACTACTTTGTTTTTGCTGGCATGTAAGAACTATAGGAGAGAATTATTAAGTGTTAGTATCATTGTGTTGTCTGTTATCACTAGTATATATGCAACAAGTTTCAGCTTTTCAATTACTTTCGTTCTTATTTTATTGAGAAAACAGTATAAGTTTGTTCAAATATTATGCACAAAAATTATTGGCCCAGAGAAAAGAAAAAAATTTTTGTCCATGGCGAAACAGGTACTTCATCGAATCTAGTATCGTGTTGGGTAACCTTTCATCTTGATGCACTCTTGTAATCTACTTGGTACTGAATCAACAAGTTTCTGGAGAACAGACAACTCGACATTATTCCATTCGTTCTTCAAGAGGTCTCCAAGTTTTAGTAAATTATCATTTAGTGAAGAAATCCGCAAGTATTTATACTATGATTAGTGGTTCTAGATATAGCGTCGACACAATTCTATAACATTCTGAAAAAAACACAAAAGTTCTAGAACTTTTTGGAAGTATTATTTTCTTTTCTTTTCTCTGGGCCAATAATTTTTGTACATAATATTTGAACAAACTTATACTGTTTTCTCAATGAAACAAGAACGAAAGTAATTGAAAAGCTGAAACTTGTTGTATATATACTAGTGATAACAGACGACACGATGATACTAACACTTAGTAATTCTCTCCTATAGTTCTTATATGCCAGCTATGTATGTATGTACATATTTGTAAAAAATTAAAACAAAACCTTTTTTTTTTCTTTCTTTAACTGGAGATATTCGCAATGGTACTACATTGCTTTGTGAGCATGAACTAGAGTTACCTAGCTTTGCAATAATTCGGTTAGGAAATCCAAGCTCTAATGCTTTTGAGTAATTATCAGGTTCAGTTAAACCAATATCTTGAAGTGATTTACAGTCTGCATCATCTCTCATACTCAACATAGCCATACCTTCTTCATCACTTATTAAAAAATAAAAAAATAAACACTACAAATAAAAGTAATTAAACCATAAAATGAAGAATCTGATAATGTAAGCTTATATGTTGACATTTTTTACCAAATTTTTTTTTAAAGATAAATAAACAACCATTTATTATTTTATCATTATAATTAATTTAGTATTAAGATTAAAATTAATTTAACAGTTTTGAAAAGTTTTAAATCTTTTTTTAGTCTTCGTCCAAGCTAAGAAATCCTCAAGAGTTTAAAAACCATAAATAAAAATAAAGGACTAGTGTTACTAAAGGTAAAAAGAAAACATTATTTTGAAAATAATTGTTTAAATAGTAAATAGTAAACAAGAAAAATAGCATAAAATTATTTTAACAAATAAAAATAGAAAAAGTATATATACAGTGTAGAAAATAAGAAATCGAAGTTGAGCAGTCAATTTGACTGGCTAACACATAGATTTGACAGTCAATTGTTTCTTTGGATGGACAAAATATTTATTTTTCTCTTTGTTTAAATTTTCATCTGAGTAATAGTTTTTCATAATTGAGACTTAACACACAAAATATACGAGTTTGTTAATTTAAAAAAAATAATGAACTTGTATTCTTTTTAAAACAATAATTTAAATAAAATCAATGCATTTTAGATAATATTTTGCATGATTTTTTTTTTCCTGTGAACTTTGGAAAGTCAGATAAAAACTTTGGTTTTTGCGCTAATGCATTTTACAATCAACCGGAACAAAGAATGTTCGTGTGGCTTTACTTTGATGTTACAAAAAAACAATGGAATATTATCCAGTGTTAAGGGTTTTTTATAGTTTATTTTCTATCCTTAAATTATATTAAAAAAAATAATTATTTAAAAAAAAATAAAGATTTAAATTTGTTTTAAATTAGTTTTTTGCAGTTGCGTTAAAAAAAGATGTCTTAGAGTATTAATTTTTTTTTTATTCTTTTATTTTTCATTTTTATTATTATTATTTTTTTAATTTTATACAAAAACTTTATTTTACAACTTTATACAAAACAGAAGACGCGTGCGGTCACATGCCTTCAATGGTCACACATATATTTTTTGTTGCTGTTGATAACTCGACCACAATTTTTTTGCATATATTAAAAATGGTGCATTTTAAAAACGCGCTGAAAAAACTAAACTAATTTGTCATATTATTTTATTTTTATTATTAATAATTTATAATTATAAATATTAATGAGAAAATAAAAACATAAAAATAATATATATATATATATATATATATATATATATATATATATATATATATATATATATATATATATGTGGGCAATACCATTTTTAACTTATGTTACATGTGCTACAACTTTATCAAATATTTGCCTATTTAAACTTTAAATTAAACTTTTAGCTATTTTGTATCAAAGCTGTTAGTCTAATAAAATAAGCTAAAAGTTTTGAGTCTGGCCGAAGGAGGGCAAACATATTGCTGAAAATGCCACTTATCTTACGTTACACGGAAAACAAGGTAAAAAAGTTGCTTTAACTTTTAGGTTTGATTTCTGCTAATCAGTAAAGTGGTAGAGTATAAAGTATTAGAAACTTTCACAAGATGTTGAGAATTCTATACCAATTTAAAAATATATATAAAAGTTTAGCAGAGGTGACCAGCTAAAGAAAATAAACTTGTTTATTTGATTCTGTATATTTAACTTACGTTACATCACTTACATTACTGAGTAACTATTATCATGGATTTTTTATATCTATAATTAAGAATAGCAATAGTATTGAGCCCATTCATTAAAAATAATTAACAAAGGAAATTTTTTAAAACTGATGGCACTCTTCCTGAGTGATTTTGTAAAACATTCATGAAAGTTATCAAATCAAAATCAGTTTTTCCGCAAGACCAAGAGCAACTTTAAAAAATTATTTTAGTATTACAACTTTATAATTACTTAATTAAGTCATTTAAATTGACTTGTTTAAGTTTTTACTTACATTTTTTTTTACATTTACACATTTTTTTTTTTATATTTATGCATTTTGCCTTATTTTCATTTGGTTGAACTTTTAAAATGCTGCAAAGTAATAACATTAAAATCTTTTAAAATATTTTTGATGTAAAAACTGCTATCATAGTTTAGGAGTAAGAGGGGTATATGTGAAGGGTTTATATGATCATTTGTGAAAGGAGGGAAAGGGTTAAGAGTTGAAAAATAAAGGGTGATGTGTTTACGGATGACCTCTTCAACAAACAATTTGTTTTACTATAACATGAATAAAAATGGTTCAAACTGATTTTTTTTTATAATAGGAGAATAGCAAATAAATCTTTTTTTTTTTAAAGTGTAAATAAAAATATTTATATAATTCTTATTTTTATTTATTTATTTACACTTAATTACACTTTACACAATTACACACAACCAAAATAAGAAAAAATAAACAAATAAAAAAATATATAAATATTTTTAATTAATATTAACAAAAAATAAAAGTTTTTTTTAAAATTCTCCTATAATATAATATAAAAAGTAAATAATAATTACTTAAAGACGCAATTCATTTTGTAAACAAAAACTTAACAAAAAAGTGACAGAACTATAGTAAATACATGTAATTTTAACTAATTTTGCACAAATTTAAAATAAAAATGTGCACAAATTTAAAATAAAAATGTGTATTAACTAAGCATCATTATTTAAAACTTTAAATGTAAAAATGTAATATTTAATATGTGCCACAGTGTAAAGACAACTTCAAAAATAAAAAAATTGTCATTTTGAATATTTCGGGAGCTCAAATATTACACAGCCCGGGGCTATAACACTCTACCACTTCATCCACAACTGATTTCTATTGTAATATTAAAAATTTATTGAGTTTATGTATTTCTATATTTAACGTACAATGACATTACACCAGAATATATTGTAATAAAAACAAAACCAAAAAAAATTATAATAATAATAAAAAAAGTATGTATATACTTTTATTTTCTCATTAATAATAATAATAATAATAATAATAATAATAATAATAATAATAATAATAATAATAATAATAATAATAACAATATACATACATACATATATATATATATATATATATATATATATATATATATATATATATATATATATATATATATATATATATATATATATATACACATATAAATATATATATATATATATATATCTATATATATATATATATATATATATATATATATATATATATATATATATATATATATATATATATATATATATATATATATATATATATATATATATATATATATATATATATATATATATATATAGTATATATATATATATATATATATATATATGTATATATATATATATATATATATATATATATATATATATATATATATATATATATATATATATATATATATATATATATATAAATATATATATATATATATATCATAGATCATCCTAGTCATATTTTAAAAATACGGAAAATTGTTTAATTAAATTGTTTAAATAAATTATAAAATTTTATATAATATTAAGTAAATTTATACCAAATACTTAATGCTAAAAGAAAAGTTTTATGAATGCTATTGAAAAATGAAAACATAGTTTGCTTCTTTTTACTTGCCTTAAGACGGGTTGACGTTTGATGTTTCTATTACAATTCATTAAAAGAAAGGAAAAAAAAATTAGTAAATGCGCAACTGATTATTTCAAACTTATTTTATAATAATTCATTTATTGCAATGGCTTTGCATCGGCAGAAAAAAGCTATGAAAAAATAAATGAAAAGATTAAATTAAAAAAAAAATACAGTTGGTAGAGAAAATATTCTTAGTTACATACAAAACTTTAAATTATAGTTTTATCTATGATTTTAATAGGCAGAGATAAAATATTTTTTATCTCTGCTCATTTGAAAAATTTTAAAAATTATTTATAACTTTATTAACACTCTTGCACAAATTTTTTACAATTTAAACTTGATACTAAGAAAATTATTTTATGAAACACTACTACAATGTTACATAACGTGTAATACATAAAACGAGATTTTACTAAATGTATATACTTTTAAGAATCCTTCTATAGAAAATTTTAAATTTACCTATAAATCATTTATTCACTTAGTACATTTGCAGCAGAAACTTACAAGGAAACAAAAAGATTTAAAGAAAAAAAAAAGTGAATAAATAAACATTGAAAAACAAATTAAAAAAAAAATCTCAGTTAAATACAGCAATTATTAAGTATTTTTGTATTATAAAAATAAGGTATTAAATATAATCATGAAACAATAATAAAATAAGAACTTCAATCTTTCATGAAAAAGAGGTTATTAACCACCAGTAAAATTAAAGTAAATTAAGTGTGTGAAGCAAAAAAAATAAATAAATAAATAAATTGTCAATGAAGGAAAATAAAGTAGCATGTAACAATAAAACTATTTTAAACGCTTTTTAAAACTTAAATGATCTTATGAAATTTTTGTATATGCATTTTCAAAATTACATCATGAATATTTGCAAAACCTTGTTTTTCAAAACTCTGATATATTTTTCAAATGGTCAAATATGAGCGGCAATAATTCATTTTGAGAGGTCAAAATAGCAATTTTGATCATTTCAGGCAGTCTTTGACCATTGACCAACCATTCATTTGCACGCTGTGTTTGTGTGTGTATATATATATATATATATATATATATATATATATATATATATATATATATATATATATATATATATATATATATATATATATATATATATACACACACACACAGGTTGATCCATTACTTGACATTCGTATCACTCCAGCTTCTGTATCTTAAGTGATTTCCTGCTTAGACTTTTCTACAGCTTGTGGTCCAAACAACATACTTGTTAAAGTCTTGCAGAAATTTTCTTCAGAGCTGTCATCTATACTTTCAAAACTCGAGCTTTTCAGCCTGATGGAAAGCAACATCTGGAGAGCAGCCTGACTTGACTAACTACCATCCTATTAGC